TTTCTAACCATAACTGACATTTCAGTGATCTTCAGTACTCTCCTTATCTCCTCACCTTTCCTTCCCATCTCAGATCACATTTTAAGCTATTCAGTATATCTCCATGCTTTTTGATTTTTTTTTTTCCTTTTCCTCTTTTTTTAATCTCTGCATTTGTCCATTCCCAAGCCTGGTAGAGTCTTAGTCTTGGCTAGAAACACCAGATATATTAATGAGCAATGAAAAACGGAGTGAGAAAAGAAAGAAAGGACTAGTAGGAACAGTGAGAAGAAGAAAGATGGAGACGGTGAGAAATCAGCTGTCTCTACTTCACACTCTTCTTTCCCAGGTGATCCTTCTACCTCCTCTAAATTAATATCAAAGCCAGAGGGAGAAGAAGAGGGTTGGTGGGGGAGAAAACGACAACCTTAGGAAAAGAAAAATCATGATGCAGAAAAGCGTCTGTCCCCTGTCTAATTCCTGCAGTGGCCTGTAGCTGATGGTGCTGAGAAAAATACAGCAGCAAGCTCTGACATTTCATTTCTGTGGAGAATTGAAAAAGGGCTTGCTATAATTCATCGCTTCTTGTAACTCAAACCCTTTTTGACAGGAGTACCTGCGCTGTCTTTTAACAGTGGCACCACAGTGGCTGTAATTGGACATGAAAAATGATGTTGTGTTTCTACTTGCTGGGAGAATTGGAGTGGGGGTAGGTGGGGCAGTGGCAATTTGGTGTGAGATGGTGATATCTGGCATGATTTGAATGGGTTGGTTTTAGGGAAAAAAAAAAAAAAAGGAAGAAAAAACCAAATTGAAGGGTATGAAGTGTAACAAGTAGGATCATCTTGTCCAAGGTATGCAAAAGTGATAGTAAAGGCGGTTTTCAGCAGAGATGAATGTGTAAAGTATCAAAGTAAAATGAGAAGTGTGATGCATGTGAAGTTCTGACTTCTCCATAAACCCAAACATTTATGGCACTTGTGGGAAAAGGACATACAACCCCCCCTTCCTGAAAGGGACTGATTCACAGCTGCAGTGGTACCCAGTACCCATAGTTCCTAGTACAGATGTGGAGCATGAGTAACAGGCTTTTCCTGAGTCCACACTGGGAACACAATTGTGAATAAACCCCTGTTTTGCCACCTGCTTGCCACCTCTTGGAAAACTGGGTCTGTCATATGTAACCAAACACCTAAATTATTTTTTTTGGCACTTGCCTAAACCTCTTTGTGCCCCAGTGGCTCTCAGCACATCTTTGCTACAAAATTGCTGTTGAGGGAGGCACTTCAAAGCAAATATTTGACCAAACAAGATTTTGAAAAATTAATGAGGATACACATTGTCCTTATTTATAATGGTTTCATACCTATTGAGCATTCTGGTTCCTCAAAGTCAGGCATCTTCATGTTATGTAGACAATAAAAAATTTTAGTCAAGTCCTAAAGATTGAGAGAGAGGCTAAAGAGGAGATAAACACTTTCTGGGTTAACTAATGGTAAAACAGTATCCTTCTTTTGCAGTGGCAGCCCAATAGGAATGATACCGAATAGGGAACCATGATCATATTTCAAAGGAGAGCACAGAGAGGGTCCATGGGCAGAGGAAAGAGTGACCGCTGAATGAACAGAAGTGTAGCACATCCTAGAGGAAAGCCTAACAGATTACATCCACTCCATCTGTTAGATCAAATGCTGGCTTAGCCTGCCCAGTTCTTTTCTCATGTTGCCAAACCTCTTTTGAAGTCTTCTATAGGCAGGGTGCAACAAAAATCTTACAGCCACATCTGTAATTCCAATGATCCCATGTGGACTTCCGTGGTATAATTCAGATTTGCTGCCTGATTTCTTCTATCATACTCGCAGGGTACATCATGACAGGACAGATATTAAAGATGTCCATTTCAGTATTCCCCCAAAAACTCTGCAGAAGGCTGCTTTGGTTTCATTTCATTAAACCCATGGCAATTTCCAGATGAAGAATATACAGGGAGCTTGAAGCTCTAAATTCCCTTCTCCTCAAGAAGGCATTTTCCCAGACTGGGAAAGCTACATCTTTCTACCATTTTATTTCCCCACTTAGCCTTTTTCTGGTCCCTGTGGCAGCTCCTTGCTCCCGGAGTGTCTGTGTAAAAAAAAAAAAAAAAAAAAAAAAATTTCCATAGATGGAGAGAGGAAACTTAATTATTTTCCTCTCAGTGTTTCTCCCTATAATTGGTGTCTTTCATGTCAAGATGATCTCAATTTGTATTATGGGCTCTGTGCAGGCAGCACTTTCTCTCTGGTCTGTAAAGAAATTGTCAAGTGTATAAATCATAGTGTACATTAAATTACACTAGACTTTTACTTATTAATTCCCCCAGTTTTTAGTTCCTTTGTTGGATGCTCATTCCCTTCCTCTTTTTTTTTTTCCCTCTTGGGGATTGTCTTCTTTTTCATATGCCCCAATCCAAAAGAAACCCAAAAAAACCCCAAAAAACCAAACCAAACCAAAAACAATCAAACAAACCAACCTCCCCCCCAAAATTTTGTGTCCTTTAATTTTTGCCAAAAAATCTGATGATCTTCTCTGCCTTTTGCAGGCTGATCACATCCAACTCAACAAGTGGGAAGAGCTCTGTCTTGCTTTTCTAAAGATTGGCTCCAGAGCTTACTCGAGTTCAGTGGGAATTTTCATAGACTTTAACATTCTTCAGATAAGCCCCTATGTTGGTAGATTTATGGGGTGTTCTGCGTCACAAGGCTGTGTCCATTTTGGATTCATGACCTTGTCTCTCAAGGTCTGTGTGCTGCACATCTATAAATTCCTGTCTACCATGACTCCTGCTGGCTGCTTGGAATGCAGGTTCTGGCTGCCGTGGAGTGAGCACCAGGGGCCTCTGACCACCCTCCTCTGACCACAGGAGTTAGATTAGCTATCAGGACCACATTAGGAACCCATAATATTTAACAGGAGTGCAAGTGTCAAAAGTCAGATCTTGGTATGTGGACAGTGTCAACACCAACCTGCTACAAACACAAACCAGTCACAGAGGTTGAGTAGCTGAGGGAAGTAACGGGGCAATTTGGTTTCATTATCCTGCACATGAGAGCCAAGATGGGGTTTATCTGGCATAAGTCCAATAAAGGTGAAAGTCACCTAGATGCACAGACTATCTTTGTGATCACCAGAGAGGAACAGGCACTTCAGAAGACCATACATCCTTTTCATTTCAGACGCCAGCTTAAGAGTGGCTTAAAATTACAGTTTTTGTACGTTTGGAGTTACATGACATAAATTACCCTCCTCATCTCTGTGATGTCAGATCTTTAAATGTCTGTAATAGCTAACTGCTTACATGTTACAGGAGCCCTATGGCAGGATGTCTGTCCTGCTGCTGCTAAATATATTGCCTCTGGCCCTGCTAATATCTTGTGATACCTATGTGAGTGATGGGTCTTTATAGCTGCAGAAGCAGGGGCTGATACAAGCTTTATCTGGTACCAGATCCTCTGTTGGTTTTAGTAGAGCAGAAACTGCTCAGTAGTGTCTGGAACCACTGATCCTTCTCTCCCAGAGTGTGAGTCTAACTGTAGTCAGTTTATGGATAAGTACATTTTCCTCCAGAGACAACAGTGCAGCAGGATCTGCTAGGGTTTTCATCATCTTAACCTACTTGTCAGCCAGCTTGATAACTTGTTATTACTAAATATGTGTGCAGAGCAATTAGAATAAATCCAAGTTATTATGAACTACTTTCAAAAAAAAAAAATAAAGAAAAAATTTTAAAAAGAGGGAATTAAGGGGGGCGGGGGGGGGGGAGGAAGAGTAAAACTAATGGCCTTGCTACCCAACTGTGATTAGCCACAAATAAGGAATGACTAGTATCCCCTGAAGGCACCCTGTGACATTCATCAGCCAATTTGTGATCCAACTTTATTTGGGAAGACATATGTTGGGAGATTCCTATTGTCTTCTGACCTTCTGCTCCTTGTGATACTTGTTTGAACTTGTACTTTGTTGGTTGAAAAATCAAAAAGATATTTTCATTCCACTCAGACATGGTCACACATAGAAAGACATTTTGAATAGTCCTTCTGCACAGCGTATGTGACAAGGAGTAAGAGGCAAATAAGAGTTTTCAGATTAAAATCTCAGCTGGTTCTGATCCAATCTGCATCTCTGGCTACTGACAGGAGGGGTACAGCCTCACCCCTGCTAATCAGACACCCACATCATGTAGGCACTGCCAATGAAGTCCATTGTAGACATCTGTTGCCCTCCTGAGAGTGAGCAGCTCTGGGGATAGTGATGGTCCCTGATGCTTTTGTTGACTGCCAAAGGGATAATTTTGATAACAGAAGTCCTATTCACAGCACAGTGGCAAGGTTTTTATGCTTATTTATATTCTGATGTGAGAAAGGAAGAACATACCTGAAAAAGTAACAGAGGGAGAAATTTTATATATACTGTCCTCTACTCCACCAAAAAATCACAGTATCCAGCACTCCTGCAGCATGTAGACAAATCAGATTCAAACCCCACTCCCCAAATGTGAAATGGAGTCTGCTATGTTACAGGTGACTATCCAACTGAGCTAACAGTAGAAGTGGAATTCACTTTTCAATTTTCTTTTCATCATGCCAACCTCAAGATATCTTTACAATTAAAGTCTCACTGATCCTGATATTCTGACAAGGCACTTCTACTCTCACATAGTAGTGTTTCCAGAAGAAACTATTAGAAATTTTAAAAGTTATGTTTAAAATTTCATGACCTGTGTGAAATGAGTCAGATCCCTCTCCTAATGTGATTCAACAGAGCTCCTGTCAGGTAAATGGAGTGACACTGATTTATTTACCTCAGACCAAGCAGCAGCCTTTGCTCCATGGTTACTTCTTTGTTTACTAATTGCTTTCCCCCCCACCTTGTGGAGTACATTCTGGTGCTAATTATGACGTATGGTAAAAAAACAAAGCGAGCCTCTGTATATGAATGTTTGATTCCTCCATTAATTACATGTTTCTCTTTGTTCTTCCTTGCAGATGAACAGACCGATCCAGGTGAAACCAGCGGACAGCGAAAGCCGAGGAGGTAGTTGACTGCATTGCTTTCAGCCACAGTGCTAAGTATAATTGTTGTCTCTGGCTTCTCTCAGGCAATGTGCTGATCAATTAGTAACGTAATCACTGCCAAAGAAATTCCCTCCGCAGCAAAGATTCTCTTTATTAAATCTCCTTTACTTCATCTCACTTTCCTCATATTCAATTATTATTTGATTTTAAAAGGCAGGCAGGTGCCAGCGATTGCCTGAGAAACAAATAACTGCCTCGTTAAGAAGTGAAGCATCAGGCACTGACTTAACAAAGTTTAGCAGCAGTGACAGCAATGTGGGTTTTTTCAGACCTACATTGTGCTGAGCTGCAGAGGTGTTTAACTTGGTTAAGATAAAGCAGATATTTTATGGTTTCTCTGACCGTGTTGTTTCTGCTTGCACTGAAGCAATTCTGCTTTTGGAAAAAGCAAATTCTGAGCTGGTAGAGTTTTCTGCACCTGTATCAGCTTATCTGGATAAACCTGTTGTGGAAACTGAAGACTTCTCTCAGACCCAGGGAGTTATTCAGGATTTGCACAGGTGTAGCTGAAATCAGGAGCTGGTCTTTTGCTTTTCCATCCTGCACAGTGGATTTGGAAGGCTTTGTTAAGTGATTGTTCAATAGATCACCAGTGATAAGGCGTTTCCTGTAAAAGGTTTTCAACCTGAACTGATGTGGTGATACTTCACCGTACTCTTCTAATAGGAGTCTGTTTGTCAGATCAAACACAGAGCTCACTGAGAAAGTGTGAGATGGTCTGTTATGCTGGATAAATTACCATCCACTATTTTTTTCTTGTATCTGTACATTTATATATATACACGCACATATATAATGACATGTTTCTTTCCTCTCTATCCCTATCTCTTTGGGAAAAAATAGAGAGGCTTTTCCTCATCTATGCAATAAAAACCTCTAGTGCTTATGCATCAGATAAATGTGGGAGTAAGGTTTGTCATTTAGTAATGATGTGGCTCTTAGATGTCTGAAAACTTTTCAATTTCCACCATAAATATAAACTCTTCCTCATTTGTGAGATGACTATCTTTGTGCTGGCATTTGTGGAAATCTCCAGCAACAACTACTTAAAAGGAGTAAAATGCCTCACAGAGAGAAGACACCATGTTCTCTTTCTATTTGAAAGCTGTGGATTCCAGAGGCTTTGACTGTGTCAGTGTGAGGCTGAAACTCTCCAGTGACTCAAGTCATTGGAAGACTGTAGCTTGTAGTTAAAGGGATGGTGTTATGGAGTGGCAAAACCAGCAGGTTGAGAGAGGCTCTGTAAGGAAGGGCTGTGGTGCCATGTAATTGCAGAGAAGGAGAGGAACTGAGTGCTGGGAAAACACTAGAAATCTCAGGGATAAATACTGCAGTTTTAGAGCCCCCCCTTAAAGAAAATTTGAGGGAATTTGGCCAATACTGGGCAGAAAGTATCTGATGCGATCTGGGATGGCGAGTTCTGCTTTGAAGGACCACGGCATATTTCTAACCTGCAAAAAAGGCATATCACATTGTGCAGCACTGTCCAGTAGTTTTTAGCAGAACCAGGTCAATTTCCCCCTTTTCCCTCCCTATCTGATGATCTGGCTGTGTCTGAGTAGGACTGGGTAAGCCATGGGCGGTTGTCAACGCCAGTCTCCTAGGGGAAAAGGGAAAGGCTCAGCTGCCTGGGCAAATGAGGGGACATTATGCACATTCCAGTGGAGCTCGTGCCAACAGCGAGAGTTAAGGGAGGGCCTTTTGTCTATTTAATTAGACATACCAAAAAAATAATAATTAGGCTGGCCAATTTGCTTAGTGCGCCTACAGGGTATGTAGCTCCCAATCACTCTTTTTTTTTTTTTTTTTTAAATGCAAATCAGTAATAGAGAACACATGCCTGGCTTTCTGGGAAGGGTTTTCAAACTCCTTTGCTAAGAGCAGCTGCTTTAAGGGATGGTGGTTTGAACTGCAAAGGGCTCCAGTGGCAGTTTGATTCCACATTATCCGTCACACCAGTGGTTCCCTCCCTATTGTGTTTTAGCTAATTATCTCCCCATCTTGCACAAACCTCATCTTTTCCCATCCAGTCTGCTCCCATATTGCTTCTGTCGGTGGTGGTCACAATGCAGAGGCCAAGCGGGTGTGCTCATCATTGGTGTGAAAGACACGTTGTCCTAATTCCCCACTGACAAGCTGCTTCTGGGCTGGTGATGTTTCAGGACGGCATGACTCAAGGGCAACTATGGGAGAAGAGAACAATCGGCACCCAAGGGAGGCATTGTATGAAAACTTACGTTCTTCAAGAGCCCACCGGTTAAAGCAGGCTCTGCAAACAGAATGCTAAAAAGGAGGCCGTGTATCTTAGGAGCACATCAAAAGACTTCATTAGGGCTGCAAGATAAAGGTCAACTTCAACAACAAAGAAACTTAAATTGTAGCTTATTATACCCTGTCCGAGTATTGGGTTGGGACATGAGGGAAGAGGGGGGCTTGGAAGACAAAGGAGTTCTTCTGCACAGCACGAGTCTTTTGGTCTGCCCAAAGTCCACGCTCTGAATACACCTCTATCTCCTGAATGATGAGGAATTTTGGTGCCAGACCACCATGATAATGAAAGAATGCAGTGCTCTTTGAAACTGTAGTTTGCAAGGAGGTTTTTACTGAAAGTCGTGAGCAGTATTCTTGAGGAAGTGATATTGTGTTTTACTTACGAGCAAATACTTGCATTTTGCTAAAACATTAATCGTTGAATTTTCCAGCAAGTTCTGGCACAGTTAAAAGGTGATGAGAATCCCAAATTTATTTTCTCCCTCACTCAGATTCTGCTCAGTCCTTTTTCCTGTTGTTCTTCTGGAGTCTGGATTTTGTCAGTCTTTAACCCTTCCCGTGTACTGATTCTTGGTTGAACCAAAATAGCATGTTATCATTTAGTGTGTGTGAACAAGAATTTAGAGTATCAGGCCATCTAGGTTTGAGGAAGAATTCAAAATGTTGCTTGGCACAAATTACACTCAACCCTCCAAAATGGAAATGCTGAGAGCCTCTTATTAGCTTTGCCTGTTTTGTTATTTTTTTTTGTTAATCTCCATATTGGAGCAAGACAGAGAGTGAAAAACTTTTCAACAAAAACTGTCATTATTTACATTTGCCTAATCTTACAGGAACTAGAAATGAATGTGTCCTCAATATATTTCTCTAGGGAAACAGTCAAAATTAATGGGAAAATTTTGCAATTTACATTCCATCCTGTTTGTGCATATGTGTTGTATAGTCAAGCTACAAAATGTTTCATAGGGCTACTCCTTCCACAAAATACTTCATGAAGCCTCAAATGCCTGATCAGAAAGTCAGAGTCCTTTGAGATTTTACAGAGACTTTAGGTGTAGTGGAATTGATAGAACATGATAAAAAGGGAACAATTCATTATTTTGTTCCGAAAAATCACAGTGTAATTCTAGCTTTATTAAGGATATCTTAAAAATTCTCATTGACCTTTGTTTTGGTCAAATTTTGACTTCGCTATATGGAAGTTATTTTGCCAGAGATTAGTTATTCCTACATATTTTTAGAGATGTAAGTTATAAGTCCACATTAAAATTTTGAACATGACATATCCCAATTAAACTGTTAGAATTCTCTATTATTTTCATCTTGGTGAAGTTGTTTTTTCTTGGTTCCTTGTCTCATGTACAGCTCTAAAAATAGCCCATAGATATCCATGTCTTAAAGTTTCTCAAACTCAGAGAAAGACTTCAAGTCTGTTTTGTGGTTTGGGGCAAAAGTTTGGAGCCATTTCTTATTTTATCCACAATATCTCCAGCTCTCACTAGACAACTCTCACTGCAGCTGGCAGGGTTAACCTATGATAAACGCAGCCCTGAGGTCCCACTATGTTGTACAGGCAGTAACATTTTTTAAAAGGAAAGGACTCTCCTGCTGCTCTAGTTGCAGTCCGTTAGCAATGCTTAGATGCTCCACTGCTCCACATTCCTCTCAAAGGACAGAGGAAAGTCTGTAAAGGAAGGCATGCAAAGATGCACATGGTGTGCTGCCCAGACCCAGTGTTAATGTCACTACCAAGAGGCACTTCACAGTGGGTTTTGAGGTCCTCCAGCATCTTGTGGAAGAGAAACAGAAGGTTCCTGGACTAAAGAAAATAGAAAGGAAAAGTAGAAAGTGATTTAGAGTTTAGGGTTCAGTGTCCTGCAGAGAGGGTGTTGGGAGATTTACAGGAGAGGCTGTGATGCATCATATTGCAGTGCTTTCTGCATGCAAGAAATCTAGTAAAGCTTCTATCTGTGTTTATGCTTTCAGGTAGATTGTTTTTGTGGATGTTTGAGGGAGGCAAATTAACTGGTTTTTTGTCTGCTGTTTGGTAGCTAGAAGGCTTGGACTTCATATTTCAACAAACTTGCTGCATTTCTCTACCCGTTACTTGACCTGCAGGCTCTGAATCTATCTGTTTGTTTATGGTTTATTCCAGATTCAGAGCAAAATGTTCAAGAACTCCATTACAGTTAACAGTAAAACAGTGATGCCTTGCTCATGCACTATGACCTGTTTCTTTTTATGCCTTCAGCTTAGTAACAATGATGGGATCAGAATGGCCTCTCCACAGTTTCTAAGCTCTATTTGCATTTGGGACAAAAGTCTAATTCTTGTTTCATCCAGGTCTTTTCTAGCTCACTAGCTCTCTGCTGCAGGTGGCAAGGTAGTTTGTGACAAACACAGCCCAAGGTCCCAGTAATTTTTTGACATTAACTGATCAGAATTCCATGGCTTGTGTAGATGGTCAAAACCTCTCAGGAGGTTTCCTACACAGGTACCAGCCAGATCCAGGTCTATTTAGGAGCTGCAGTCAAGCAAGGGTGGTTTCTTTCAGTTTTGTTGGCTTCACACCGGTATAACAATGCTGCATGGGATGATTTCCTTCTTCCTTGGAAGCCCTTTGTAAAGAGTAGGTTTGTTTGCTTAGACCTTCAGGCCAGAAAGGTCTGAAGAAGAGAGAAAAGGGTA